TAGCAGGACAAGCTAATATTTTTGGAAAGTATATTTGTGCCAGCCCCTATTTAAATACTTTATATATAAAACTCACTAATCTTCATCTTAAAGAATGAGACACCGCCCACTATCAACCTCATTTTGTAGACAAGGACACTGACGTTGGTGAGGTGCTAAGTGGAAGCACCTGACTTTGAACTCAGCTCTGCTTGAGCCCCAGGCTTATGCTCTTAACTGCATAGTGACTGCCTCCTGGCTAATAAACCACAGGCGGTCAGGGCCAAGGAGAACAGGTTTTAATATCTAGGAACTGGCTGGATTATGATGGTTAGTGTTTACCAGTTTAGTCAGTGTTTCCCAGGATGTATTGCTGAGAAAGCTAGTTCTATGGAAGGTTACAGATGTAAACTGAAAGGACAAATAGGTGAGGTAATGCTAGATTCAACAAGGTGACGGCACAATTTCTCAAGCCCCAGGGTAGTCGATGGGCCCAAGGAGTCTCCAGAAGGGGGTAGGGAATACTGTTTCCCAAGTTTGTTTTATAACGGAATCCTTCCTTCTTGCAACAGGATTGGGCTACATTAGTGGTATGCAAACTATTCTGATTAAGTGTCCCCAGTATGTGGTTATATTTATCTATCTTTACAATATACACGTTTGAATCAGTCCTTTTGGGTCATTGGTTCCCAAAGTATGTTCCTAGTTCCTCACTAAAGCAGTGTGGAAAGTATTTACAGTGAAAGAAACTATCCTTTTTTTTTTTTTTGGTCCCATGCTCTAACAAAATGTGTACTTTTTTTTTTAACTACTTAAAAGAGTTTTATAACCCAAACTATAAAATTCAATTTATTAATTTTTGTTGTTTAAAACAGAAGTGACATTTTTGAGCGATTTCCCAGTAAAGAATTACAAAGTCAAGATACGAATGCTTATATTCTTAGACTTTGCTGAAAACTCTTTTTCCCAGTCCCATAAACCAGTCACTTGTTTCACGTTTTATAATTTTTTTGCACATGCATGTTTTTAAATCAATCACCCAGCACTAGCATATCTGCTGGACTGGCATCAATGTTCACATTGTAGGTATGTTCTATAATGTGTGAGACCTGACAGACGTTGAAGGCGAGGACACTGCTGTTGTCATAGCTTACCTTCTGAAGAGGCCTTGTTTTTCGAGGTAGCAGTGGCGGGGTGATGTGATGAGGGGTCCCAACGGATGATGCGGACCTACAGCCGTTGAATTCATTTTCCTTTATTTTTTCAGAACCTTGGGTGTTTTCCGAGAGAGGATTGTGTGCTGGTGACTTAAAAAGGTTGGGGCTCCTCCCTGCTGGCTCAGCTGAGGGCACTTCCAGGGACCCGCACTGTTCTGGCCTGCACTGGAGGTAGGAATCATAGGGTTCAGCAGGACAACAGCCCCAGCGGGCAGCTTGGCCCTTGTCGGGCTCAGGACTCCTTCGGCAATCTGCTGCCATGGCTGTGGAGATGAGGTCGGGGCTGGAGCCCGGCACCTGTCTTTGAGCGTGGTTGCTGAGCGGGCTCCGCAGGGCTGCAGCTGGCCCAAAATACTTCAGGTTATTGGCGCAGGTGGTGATGTCCTGTCCGTGCATATTGAGTCTGGGGTGGTGACTCTGAGACACGGCAGGAGGGGGTTGCTGGTATTGCTGCTGCAGAGGGTCATGGTGATGCGGAGGAGGGTACTGGGATTGAGCCTGGTGTAAGTAAGTGGGGTGGGGCGAATTTTCCGGGGTTGGCTGGTTTTTCAAGATTGCTGCGAAGTCACTATGGCTGCCTCTGCTATTTCCTCGGCGGTGGCGTGGTTTGCTCCGATATCTGCTCTTGCTGCTTGAGGTGGACATTTTGGGGCTGCCTGACAAAGGGGATGCAGCAGGAGCCACCTCCATACTAGGGATACCCTCTGATTTTAACAGATCTGGCCTGGGAGAAAAAACAGATTCCGTTTTAACCATATGAAAACATATTCCATTTGCGGAAATGTATCCCGAGTCTTACAATGCTGCACTTAACTTTTGAATCAGCAGTCACCGATACACAGATTCATGCAGTGGAGGTAACAGATGTGCACGTTGAAAGAAGTGTGAAGTGTTAGGTTACAGCATTGTTTAAAATGGAGTTAGTCACAACCTAGATGTTCCCTTATGCAGGATTCCCTTTACTCTTTCTGGGATTGACCCTGTGCCTCACAGGATTGAGGGAATCAATTCCATTTAAGTTCTAATCCCACCCTCTGGGTTTCCTGAGTTCTTCCTCATTATCTCAGCTATCTTGAGCCTGGTGCCAGTATACCAAGGCATAAGGCTGAGTGTTTGTCCACGATCAGAAATCTGTCTGGTGATGAATCTGGATAGACCAACAAGGAAAGAGGTTGGCTACTAGAGAAGGAAACATCAGGGCAAGTTTGGGACGTTTATTTAAATTTCACAAGAGTCCCAAGACAGAGTGGGAGGAGGGAAACTCAGGGTTATAGAGAGGTAATTATCACAACACCTGTTTTTGTTTTGGTGATGGATTTACAGGCATTCAATACACTATTAAAAAGAACTACCTAAATAAAAATGGGCCATCCATGGGTGAATATGCATATGCATAAATCAGGAATTATGGTGAATCCAATTCGGGGCACCAGGAGTAAAAAAAAAAGATCATGTATTATACCATTTCACCCATGAGCCTGAAAGATGTCAAGTGACATGGTCCATATGGCATAGTTAATAACAGATTGACCTGGGATTGACATTCGGTTCATGAATGTCATCCCTCTTCATGTCTTTTCATTATTCTAGCTACGCTAAGATCATAAATACGCCTTACAGAGTGAGCAGTAGATTCCCAGAATCTACGGCACATTCATCTTCTATTCTGTTCTTTTGGGGAAGGGGGGGTATGCTGGCTAATGACGAGGCTGTGTTTCTAGGGGAGTATTTGCCCATCTAGCTGAATATCAGGCTGGTCCAGGTGTCTCACCTTTTGGTTTGCGACCCGGGTTTGTGAGGCACCCCCTTCCTCTTCATGAGCTTCTCCATGGCATTGGGGTGGATTATTGGACGCACAGGGTGTCGTTTGTAGGTCCCAGGATACTTCTTTTCCACTGCTTGCTCGCGCCTGCAGGGAAAAAAGAAAAAGCCACCTCTCAGTCACTGCAGACAGAAAAGACGGGCAGAATATTTCCATCCTTATTGTGCCCTGGGAAATTAAGTGGCTGCTGCAAGTGGTTTAGGATATTCCTGATCACGGCCAGAAGATCCTGTGGTGCTGACCAAAACAGCAGCTCCTCAAAGAGTAGCTCCCACCATGGCCTTGTCTCCCATGAGGTGTGTTAGGGTGGGAAGGTCACAGGTTCTGCCCACACTGAACAGATCTCAGCTGTTTGGATACAAAGGCTGCTATTCAGATTAAACAGGAAAAAAAATACTAAATTCAAACTATCCTGATTTCATTGTGCTCTTCACTCAAAGAATGGACGGATTCGAGGCTGACCTTCCCACCCACAACACACCTCGTAGGAGACAGGATCTTCTGGCCATGATCAGGAATATCCTAAACCACCGGCCACAGCCAGTTACTTTCCCAAGGGACAATAAGCTCCTGCTCATTCACACCAAGCTCTTCGTGAAATAAGGATCTTCTCTCTGAGCCTTTCAGAGGGTAAAGCTGCAAATATCACCCTCCAGTGCAACTTCACTTAACTGTGTACCTTCCCAGGGCCAGGACATCCCATCCCTAAGGAATGTTGGGGGAAATGAATAAAATATTTGTGAGTTCTCAGTGGCACAGCATGGAAGAGTTGTACCTTTCTGCTGATTGATAAACCCAAATAACTTAGGAAGGACAGGCAGATACTTACTTAATGAGCTCCTTTTCCCGCATCTCTAGCTGCAGCATGATGGCACTGAGCTCCATGTACAAATTATTAGCCCGTTCAAGTTTCCTCTCATAGTGTTCACGGATATCCAAAGCATGCCTGCCCAAGAAAACACTGTATCAGCAGAGCTAGATGATTTGGATGCGAACAAAGGTCAGCTCTAAAGAAATAAGAATCAGGAGCATTTGCTCAGAGGGTCTCTAAATTTAAGGCTCCCTTGTCCACACGGTGACTCAAGATGGAGTGGGTGAAGGGATGTCCAAGCTTTCCTCTTGGCTTATCCTTGAGGACCATAGCCAGACATACAGAAAAGCCAGGAGGGCCGCAGATAAAATCTGAATGTGAATCGTGTGTAATTTGTAGCCTTCATATATGCAGTGTTGGCAATATCTTGCTAAGAATATACTATAATATATAATCGTCTGTGAATGGAGTATCCACTCATCCATGGGACAGATCATGTCTAGCACAGCAGTCTCACATAACTATGCCTTGTATCTGCTAATATAAGTATCTTAAGACCAGGTACGACATCCTAAAGATTTCTGGCTTCCCATGTCATCTAGGACATGGACTGAGTGAACAGAAAGCATTCCTACAGGAGTCACAGTTGTAGATATATACAATAAAGGAGGATAGCTGAGTTGAGGTGAGAGGATAAGAAAGCAATGTAAAGGAGGGCTAACTTTGAAAGAGAACAGCCACAAACAGCAGAGATGAAATGTATGGAAATGTAATTCAGAAAGATAGTTTCCACTAATAGGGGAAGGTGGTGGGGATAGGAAGGCGACATCAGCTGACCTGAGCTCTTCCCTGCGCCTTCGGATTAGTTCTTCATCTAATCGGTGTATACAAGTTCCTTCGCTTTTGATCTTCTCAAAGTGTTTTTTCACTTCTTCTCTCCATTCAGCCTAGGCAAGGGTAGATTAGATGTTGTTGATATTCTAGGAGTTTCAGTGCCCGATATAACCATAGGATCATATACAGCCTATTTTTCCCTCTGATGCTTCTACTGAAGAGTTTTACAGAGTAGCTGATCGATAAATATTAGCCAATAGCAAAATACCTCATGCTAGTGGAATCTGCAACTGCCCACCCACTTTCTGTGTTTAGTTCAATATATGATACTGTTTCTTTTGGATTTCTTTGTAGTATTGGCCAGAAGAAAAGTTACAACTGGCATACAGGCCATCACCTCTGGAACAAAAAAAACCACTCTATTTTAAGTCAAGATGGTAGTTGGGATGGCCTGACAAGAAAGAACTATTCTGATAACCATATGCTATAAGTGTGTGCCTGTGAGAACATGATTATAACTGGGACCAAAATGTTTCCTAGACAAGTTTTATGAAAATACCTTTGAGAAAATATTTGGAGTAAAAGACCCAGAGGGTATGAACAGCAGGAGGTAGGAATAAAAATATGATGAAAAAAAGGGAAGAGGAAGAGGAGAAAAGTAAGGCTTTATAAGTAACTTAGTAGTCTGACAATAATTTTAAGACAGGGATGAATAGCTAATAGGATTTCAGTTCAAAATGTAAGCCTCTTCTAATTCCTTAAACCTTTGGTAAAGTCTGGTGTTCACTTGACTTTGGATGAGTGTTTTGTTTTGTTTTTCTAGAAATCAAGGAAATGTGCTGAACTTTATGTTTGGGTCAATGACAAAACAAAGATAAAGGAATAACCACAAGATGGCAGATGTGGAGCAGGCCAAGAATTTTACAAGGCAAAGTCAGAGTGGGCATGAAATTATAAATAAATCTCCAATAGGCTCAAAAAGGTGTTAGAAAGCACACTGGATTTTCCATAGGGAATCAATTCCAAGTCAATTTTATCAAAATTTTGGGGGACAAGAAAACCTTTGCTGGGATATAATCTATAGACTGTTTCTAGATAAACAGTTCAAGGAGTTGTTTTCTCAGATTTTGAATGGACAACCATCTCATGACTGAGCAAAAGTTAGATGTATAATGAATTGTCTTGCATTGTATAATATCCTTCTAGAAATTTTTTGCTACCTTTAGAATCATGTTAAAAATTCTTTCTCTAAATCATGAAAGAAGTTATGCTTAAGTAGTTGTGAAGTTACTATTTCTATATGTATTTGCTATTTCTAATTAATTTTCTTATTGAGACAGTTACATTGTAATTATTTAGAAAGTGATGATGACCTTGCTTATCTGTTAATAATTGTTAGATCTTCATATAAATATATATACCGAGATTTGCTGACTGACCATTAGAGAGTCTGTCTTCACTTTCAGACACCAAACCTGCTAAACAATGTCATCAAAAAGTCAAGATCTAGAATGTGCTGTACTCATTGTTTGCTAACAGTCTTTGACAGTATCTAAGCAATAAATGCAAGTTTGGTTGAGCTTCAAGTAATGCTGTTTGTTTTTTAAGTCATCAGAGAAAAAACATGAAGTAGGAAGAATGTCTGAGAGGCCAAACATCACCAGTCAAGAATTGCTAGACCAAAAAGAGAAATAAAGAGAAGGCCAAGTTTAGGCCTTAAAGCCTCCTCTTTAATGCAAATACCTGACCATGTTATACCTAGTACAATATCATCATTAATACTTTTTCTTTGTACAATATTATTAACTACAATACAGTAGTACTGATACAATATTATACCAGTGCAATACTTAAAGGGGCCAGATGAAGAGATATCCCATCTGTTGGTGAGGAATCAGACACACAGAGCAGGTTTTTTTTTTTTTTTTTTTTCATTCTAAAGAATAAACCTCCTGACATGTAGCTTATTTGTATGGAAAATCTAGAGAGCCATCTGAAGATTAAAACCCATTAAGATGTGTGGGAAAATGTCAGGCACTGAATAATAATGTGTTTTCCTTCCCCAAAGGTATCATGTTACTGGTATATGTTAATTTTGAAGTTTCATCACACATACTTAGAATCTTTATGCAGTAAGAGTTCCAATTTGCACTTCATCTGCAATTAGATATGCCTGGGCATATCTGAAGACAAGGCGGGTGGGCAGGCCTGAAGCACATTTGCAGAGACTGAGGAGCCTCTGAGAGAAAACACATCATGGGTGGTGGATTCCCATGTGAACTTGACTGACAACAAAACCACCATCATAGGAGAGCAGAGACATTGTCCATTATTTCACTAAAGTACCTGTGAAATGGGGGGTCTCCCAGATGGTCTCAGTGCTATGTCCAGTACAGACTGAGTTTGATCCCTGGTCAGGGAGCTGACCCACATGGCACAGCAGACCTCTCCTGCCTCTCCCACTGCTCCCTCCAGCAGTGTGTTTCAGTAAATCCACCTGTTCTGCTCCCCACTCTGTCTCTGGTGAATCCTTCCACTCCCCACACTTCTGGCCCATACCCCAGTTCTTCTGTGCAAATATAACACGTAACAAACACCTACAAAACACTGGGTCACAATCAGCATTGCTCTGTTATCTTTGTAAAGTTAACTCAACAGGAAGAGGAAGAGTTCATTGTGTAAACAATCATGTGCAGATTTGGTATCTTGAGAAGTACAGAGTTCATTACAGCAGGACATAGAAAGTGGGTGCTTTAAGGATACAGTGGCATCCAATAGATGCCAGATGGGGATCACAGTTCTTTAGCAGAAAACAGTGCTAACCACTAATGTAATACCAGCAGTAATGTAATGCTAGCTAGAAGATGGCTGTGTCTGGCCAGAGTTTGTGAAAGCAGACCTGATGTTAATATGAGGCTATTTGAGATTCCCTACCCTTTACTGGTAGATCCCCTCAAGACACAAGTTGGGGATCTGGGTTGAGAAAATAAAGGGTGCTTTACATGGTACTTAAGTTCTCTGTAAGACTGTAAGGGGAAAATCCAGCAAAACTTAGGTTATAGCCCTTAATGGAATCTTCTTTATGTCCCAAATAAGGCCTGGCGAAGGTGAGAATAGTAGGACCTTAGTCTTCTCCAGTTACTCAATCAGTAGACTGAAGCTGCTTTTTTTCGCCCCAAAGTAGAGTTGTCAAAAGGAAGTTGAATAATGAAATGAAAGGATAAACAAAATGGGGTATTTGCATACAACAACATATTAGTCAAACAGGAGAGAAATTATGATGCTAGCTATAACAGATGAATCTTGAAAACATGCTAAAAGGAGCTAGTCAAACACAAAAGGGCACATATTATATGATTTAATGCAAGTGAAATATCTAGAATAAGCAAATTCATAGAGACAGAAAGAATGTAAATTGTCAAGGGCTGAGGGGAGGGGGAATTGTAAGTTAATGTGGTGATAAAGGCTTTTGGAAATAGTGGTGACGGGTTCACAATATTGTGAATGTAATTAATTTCACTGAATTGTACACTTAAAATGGGAAATTTTATTTCGTATATATATTATCAAAATTAAAAGAAGAAAGAAGCTGAGCCAGTTCCAGATTAGCTTGAGGAGCAGAGAAGCAGTATGCTGGGAAGTAGCCAGGAATCAGATTCTCAGTGAGAAAAACTTTCTTCCAACTCTTGGCACATGAGCCCACTTCTCTCCTCCGCAGGTATGCGCGTCCAGCTCCTGCCTGAGCACCTGCTAAGTCAGGACGCAATTACCCTGAAGACAGCACCATCTAGCCCTATAGTGAGAGAGTATCTCTGCAACTCCTGGTCTCTGAATTCCAGGGGAGACACAGTGGCACTTTAAGGGAAATTAAAATGCAACAAAAGGTGGTGGATGAACTTAGAAGCAGGGGCCCGCCTAGAAGCTGGGATCTGACTGGGCTAAAATGCCTCCTGAAGACTCAGATCGAATGTAATTGAATACAAGGAGCAACAATGGCCTACCTGGAGGAATGGGTTATTGTCTAGGAATGAAGCCATAGCTTTGGCAGAATCTAATATTGAGCTGAAATTTGTCACTTTGTTCATCTGTTCTATATATGCTGCATCTTTATGCAGAAATTGCTGTTGATGAGCAATTTCTCTCAGGAAGGAGTCAGCTGGGCTCTTGGCACCCCCTGACTGACAGTTTTGGGGGAAGGTGGAGATCAGTAGCTAACAACCGCAGACTGATGATTGATGGGGAGAGGATTTTGTCAGCAGGCAGGAGCCAAGACTGCTAGAGAAAAGTAAAGTCAGTGCTAAGCAATCAGTTCTTCCCCGACAGTAGGATAAGGTCAAAACACAATCAACAGGAGATCCTGAGGCCATCTTACGCATGGCAGGAATTCATCAGATAAATCCCAAGAGCAAAGAGCTCAAAGCTGAATTTCTGTAGCTTTATGCGGGGTGAATAACAAGGGCTCACCATCACATTGGTCTTTACACCTTCAGTATGCTTGCATTTCTATCATCTCAGTTGATCCTCACCAAACTCCAAGAGGAAGGGAGATAGGAGAATGTTCATTGCTGAAGTTTAGAGAAATTTAGTGACTTAAGGTCACAGTATGGGGATTTAAACTCGAGGTCTATGGCTTTTCCTAGTACCTCGTTAGCTAGTTCATAAACACTTTATCATCACTAGTCAAAGATAGTGTGAATTTCAGACCCCAAAACAAATCAGCTTGCAAGTGCCTAAAATTTTCTAGGAACTAGCAAGGACAACAGAGTTGGGGCTATGAAAAGAGAGGTATATTTCGATACAGAAAGAAAACTGTGGAAGAATTAATGAATATTAAAAGACATCCAATGTGTAGTTCCCCCCCTTTGTTTCCTTCTCTTTCCTATTCCTAGTCCATAATAAGCTTTTTTCTTCAGAGTTCAATTTAAATGCTGCAGGTATGGCTAATAAAAGTGAATTTGTACAACTGTGGGTGCCGGTGCAGACTGGCCTCAGAAATCGCCTCCAGGCGCTCCAATAAAATGTTTACAATTGGAAGTTTCCAGGTCGCTACAGATATGGTGTCTCAGTGTCTGGTGACTGAAAATTACTTTTCAAGATTGTGCCTGTATAATTTTATTGTAGATGAACTATAACTGTGATTGCAACACATCCTAAAGTTGAAAGGTTTCTTAAAGAGCACTCACTGTTATTCTCCTTCATTTCCCAAGAGGGCCTAGTCTTTTTCTGAATACCAAGAGAAAAAATTTTAAAAGATTTTTTAATCCAGTGTCCACACCTGTTTGAATAATTAGTCAATAGTTTAATAGGTCTAAGGGAATTTATCTGAATGTATACCAAAGAATGTAGAAAATGTCAGGGCATCAACTTCCTCTGATTTTTCTCTAAATGCATTCACTTTTTCATATTGATTGAGATAAAACTGACATATAGCATTATATTAATTTCAGAAGTATGTAAATATTTTATTTACATAATAATGATCCACAAACACTGAGAAGCTATAGGAGCAAGCCTGACCATTTAAAGACACAGCTATGAAGACAGCTAAGCTTGTTGTAGAACGTGAGTTGGAATTTTGGGCAGCAGGGTAAGTGTCTCTTATACACTCCTAGACGCTGTACAAACAAACATAGAAGCCCGTGAGTCTTTATTAAGTTATTCCCCAACATCTGATGTGTCTGATTATCAGACACCAGAGAAGCAAGTACCCCATGTCTCTAGTCGGGGCAGGGAGAAGGACTTGTCTTCCACTCAGTGTTCTTTTCAACACATAATTTCTGAAAGGTAAACTCATCACCTCTTGGAGATGGGGGTGTGGGAGGCTATGAAGAGTAGACTGAGACCAATTGGCAATCAAACATCCTCTGAGAAGGACTCTTTGAAACAGCCTTGGAAGTCAGTGTGGAGATGGAATTCATTTTAGAAACACAGTAACATTTAGATTCATAGTAACATGAGACAAAGTTATCTGAGAAGAAATTAATAAATTCTATAAACATACAATTTTAATTTAGAATCATCACATTATTTAAAAGTCATAATTTTATCCCATTTTACTTCTTTGGCTATTGCCTGGGTCTGGTAGGAATAAATCATCTCTTGCAACTCCTACCTACACAATGACACTTGTAAGACCACCCATTCTTATCACATTTATAGCATTGCTACTTCATAGAGACAGATTCTTCCCCTCCTTATACATGTGTTTACTATGCACTGTGGCAGATCCTCTTGTCAATGGGTGAAGTGTATTTCCCAACCTGGGTGGGCTGTGACTTGCTTTGGCTAATAGATACCAGCATGTGTGATGCACATGCAGGCTTGAAAATCACTAATGCATTAGCTGCCTTTGTTACCCTGAGAGCAGCACGTGAACATTCCTATGCTAGCTTGCTGAAGGATGAGAGGCCACATGGAAGAGAGCAGAAGTGCTTCAGCTACTAGCCAGCCAGTCACCACAGTGATGAAATAGGCTGTCTCGAACATGTCAATCATCACCATTTAAAAAAAAAAAAAGATTTATTTTATTTATTTACGTATACAAGATCTGTAAGCCAGAGGTATGGGGGTGGGTGGGTGAGAGGATTCATTAGACAGAGTGGGAAGCAGAACAGGCGAATCTACTGTAACACTGCTGAGGGGTTGCTGCCGGCGAGTTGGGAGAAGTCTGCTATGTCATAAGGGTCAGCTCCCTGGCTGGGGATCGAACTCATGCCACATGGGTGGTGATAGCTTAATAGCGCTGACACTTTAGCCCCTTTGCCACCAGGAAGGCCCATCAACATTTTCCAAGGTGACCTGGCAACTGCCTGCAGGGCAGAGCCCATTCAGACAACAAAAGCACCAAGCTCAAATTCAGTGCGCAGACTAGGGAGCTAAACAAAAGCTATTATTTTTAGCCATAGTTTGGGAATGGTTTGCAATGTAGTAAAGGCTAGCAGACCTATTAAATTATATTTTATTTGGTGCCCCCAAATGGTACTTAAAGTTAGAAAAAAGGCTATCTCTGGACCTAATTCTATCCAGGGCTCTCTCTGCCATTGAGCTTCTCTTCTTTGTACTTTAATTTTTCTACTTCAAGGAAAGCAATACTTTCATAAAGCTCAGCAGTATTCTAGCTCAGATAGATGTACATGACAGCTTTCACATCCTCTTTCCTCCTTTCAGTAAATTCACCAGTGTCCACTCTGTGAAGATGACATTCCCATTCACTGACTTTTCGATATGAGAAAATAATTATGTTAAGTGCTTAAAAAACTCCAAAATATCGTGTTTGTGAGGTAGCCTAATTATTACTTGGTAATGAATAGAGATATATAATTGTGGTAAGAATCAGCATTGTCCTCCTTTCTAAGACTTATTCTTCTTAGAGTTCCTGTGTGCCTGTTTCATGGCATTTGGTGGGAAGTTTCCAGACTTACCTGAGACTTGAAGTAAGTTTCTTGTGGGGTGGCAAGTACATCTGCAGATGCTATGTCTAAATGCATGAGTGTCTGCCGAAAAGATGGTCGGTTGCGAGGTTTGCTCTGCCTGAAAGTAAAGAAAAAGGCAGTTTGTGCATCTCAGAAGGTGTGTCCAAGTAAAAAATGTTATTCTACTTCATGGAAAACATTTCACTCCATGAATAGCTGTAACTCAGGAAGCTTTGATATACTGAAGAGCAAAAAAAAAAAAGTAATTACAAAATGCCTCAAATGATGCAATGGGAATCTCTAGGATGAGTGACCTATGTGATAATAATAGCGCATTAAGATTGGTAAAATAATGATAATTATCATTTACTAATGCCTCCTATTTTAAGATATAGCAAAAGCTATAAGTTTCAATTAACCACAACACAACTCTGTGAGTAGGTGTTATTCCATTTTACAGATAAGAACTTGGAATGACAAGTTCAAATGGTACAGATAGCAAAGGGCAGGGTAAGAGTTGGAACTCAAGGTTCCAACAGGAACCTCAGGTGGTCCGCTCTAAAACATACATAGAGACCTGACTGCAGTTTTAAAAGTATTTTGAGGGAGAAGAGCAAAGAGAATATCAGGAGAAATAAACTTCTTACCATGTCTGTTTCATAAGGATTTTGAATCCATCAGGGCAAGTGGAAGGAACTGGAAGGTGTAGGCTGTTGCTTCCAACACCCCAAATAATGGCTGAAGAGTCTACATCTTTGTAAGGGATCTCTCCTGTCAGCAGCTCCCAAAGAACCACTCCGAATGACCTACGGTAGGAGCAGGAGCAGGCACAAAAGACATTTCAGAAAGACTGACTTGTACATCAGTTCTTTATTCGGTTTTAACCAAATAAATATCCAGTTTTTTAAAAGGTTCATTTATTTATGCATTTAGAACTAGGGTACAGGCCAAAGGTGCAGGGGTGGTGAGAGGATTCACCAGAGACAGAGTGGGGAGCAGAACAGGCAGATCGACAACGCGCACTGCTGAGGGGAGCAGAGGGGAAGACAGAAGAGGTCTGCCGGCCATGTGGGTCACCTCTGGGGCTGGGGATGGAACTTGCATTGCGCAGTTGCAGCCAGCTTGCAGTGCTGTGTCCTAACCCACTGCGCCACCAGGGAGGGCCCTAAATATCCAGTTTTAAAATTCTAATACTGTTATTAGAAAAGTAGGAACAGGTAGGAAAACTGGAAAATAAAATCAATGAAAGGTTACCAGTATTACTAGATATTAGGACACATTATAAGGCTTTAATAATTAGCTCTAATGATGGTGGTGGTGGGGGGGAATTCTTAACTCTGGTACATGAACAGGTAACTAGACTGAAAGAATGGAAAGGCAATCCAGCAATGAGCCAAATACACATAAGAATGAATATATTAGTGACATCTCAAATCAGTAGGGAAATTTTGATTATTCAATAGGTACTATAGGGACAGGTGGGGAAAAAATTAAATCTAAGTATCATCTTACATGAAGACATACGTCAAATGAATCAAAGATTTAAATATGAAAAATGAAGTCATAAAAATCCTAATGGAACACATGGGAAAGTTAAAAAAAAAAATCTTAGAATGCTGAAGTCTTTTCTAATTATGAAATCCAGAAGTCCTAAAAGGAGAGACTGATAAATTTAACTGCATTAAATAAATCTGTCATGGAAAAATAATAACATGTGAAAAAGTATAACTGTGATTCATATACACAAAAGGCTAATTTCCTTAATACATAAAATTCTTACAAGCTGGTAAGAATAAAGATCAGAAATATTAGCAAAGGGTATAAATAGTTTACAAATAAGTTATAAATGGTTCACAAAAGTGTGAAAAATGTACAACCACCCTTACAAGAAGAAAAATGCAAATTAAAACTGCACCCACGATTCTATTTTTTACCTCTATGGCTGGCAAAAGTCCAAGTTTAACATATTTTGTTGGCGAGACTGAGAAAACACTCATACTTTTCTGTTGGGAATATAAATTGGTATAATCCCCAAGGAAGACACTTTGGTAATAATTACCCAAATTACAAAGGAGCTGATATTTCTATTTTATCTTATTTACTCTGGTGTTACATGTAATGTTAACATATGCTATTATTTGGCTTTAAATCTAGAAGCTACTAGTAGCCCATTTTCCAAATGGAATAAAAGGAACCTCAGGAAAATGTACTGTTAATAGGAAAGATTTATAATCTCAGAAGAAACACTGATAACATTTTGTGTTTTTGGTCGTGGAAGAGCTGGGGTATAGACCAGAGGTGGGGGGAGAGAAGAGGGGCGGTGAGAGGATTCACCAGAGACAGAGTGGGGAGCAGAAAAGTAAGATTGACTAAAATATTGACTGCTGAAGGGAGCAGAGGGCAAGACAGGTGAGGTCTGCACCATGTGGGTCACCTCCCTGGTCAGGAATTGAACTTAGGCCACGTTGGTAATAGTGCTGAGCCTTAACCTCTAGGCCACCAGGGAGGCCTCTGGCAAAGATTTAAAAAGGGAGGGAAAAAAAAGCACCACACTTAGGAAATATTAAACGAAAGGAAGAACATCCTTATACACATCAAATATGTCTAAAGCACCTAAGGCAGTAAAGTACCATACACACACACACACACACACACACACACACACCAAATAATCGTGGATGTAGTTTTAATACTATCTATATATCTGAGTCACCAAGAAAGATAAACTTTGTTTAACTTGTTTTACTTAAGAAAGTGAAAATTATATAAAACATTTCCAAAAAAAATTTTATGCCAAATGTTTCCAGAGATTTCGGCAATTCTCTGAAAGCCTCGTAAGCAGGTGATTTCTGGATGGATATTTACCCTACTTCCTCTTCCAGTCCTTCTTACTATGTATCATCACACTGGGTGTATCTCAGATAATTTGAGGCAGGAATCAGCCTGCAGTGAGTAACACTAGGAGTATTCTGGGAAAGGAGAAGGAGGCAAGCCCGCCCCCTCTTCCACCCAGCAGCCCCTGAGTGTGAAAGGCTTTATTTAGAGTGGCCACAGGGGGCGTTGCTCACCATATATCCACTTTTTCAGAGACAGGCTCATTGCGGATCACCTCTGGTGCCATCCATGCCACTGTGCCTGCGAAGGACATCTTGGTACTTTTATCGCTGAGTTCCTTGGATGTACCAAAATCTGAAATTTTTACTGCATCTGTGTGAGTCACTAAAACGCTTTAAAAAGAAATAAAGAAAACAGCCAGATCATTAGTACTAAAGAAAACCACGACTAGAATTGGCAACTGAAGATTTTGTTTCCTACTCCTACCTTGTCGAATTCAGGGCATCAATGATACAACAGTAACAGCATCATTCACACTTGCTAGGCAGCAAAGCACAGTGGGCTTTTTACACCTGGTTTTCTCCTGCTTTTACCACTTGCTAACTATGTGAACTTTGCCAAGTTACCTAAGTCTTCTGGGGGCAGTTTCTTCATGTGCAAGTTGGCAGCAGTAAGGTCACAGTATCTTAAATTCAATGTAAAAAGCTCTGAAAATGGTGTATAGAATTTTTCTACATGTATAAAACAAAGTTCCTTTATCCCATGTTGTGTGACTGTCAAAGGTTTTGCAATAGATACAGGAATGTGGCTGATTATAGAGTGCTGGGGATATAAGGAAATACTCTGTTACCTTTCTGAAATCATCTGATCTGAGAGTTTTAGATAAGGGGTTATGGGCTTTTTATATAATAGACCTCATAGAATGTTCCACCTTTGCCGGCTTCGGAAACCCCAATGAGAAAAATTCTTCTTTTAAAACACTGATATGGCCCATTAAAACCATGCATGGGGCCAGGAGTTCATTCCATGAAAGGACTAATAAAGTATGCTGGATTTCCACAAAGGCTGATAAAGAAAATCAGGAATAAATTTAAGGTCAAGTAGATTCTACACAAACTGTGTTTTGCTTGTGATAATAACTACTGGGTTGTCCAAAAAGTCATAACATATTTTAATACATCATGGCTTTTCTGACAACCCAATATCTAAACTGATCTGGACAAAACAGACTTTGCTAGTTAGTCTTAAAGTTGACCAGTCAAATCCAAAGTTTAGAATATATAAGATTGCATGCAACTCTCTTTGACTCCTGTCATTTAAAGATACTTGAGTAGACAAAGATCAATCTGACTTGCTGTAAAGACAGATTTCTTTACTGGTATTAAATCTTCAGCCTATGTGACCCCAACTTTTTCTCAGATGATGTCACCAAAGTTCCAATATCCTATCTTCTCTAATTTCTCAACACTATACTGAATTCATTTGAAATAATACTATTTCCATGTTTAGAATGTTAACAAATTAGGGTTTCAGAGGTCTAATGATATATATATAGAAATGCATTTCTAATAAGAAGAAGAATCTGATACCCAAATAGTATCAGAACTGAGATAGCTAGAAAATAGAACATGTCTTAACCAACTTCTTCAGTCTTTGCTTGAGCCAGGATCTTGATGTTTGCCCTCCTTTCCACCAGTGTCAAAAGGCTATTTACTAAACAGCTCAGGGATCATAATTTGTTTATAATACCTTTATTCACACCCTACCCGTGTTTTAGCTCTGACATGTTTGTATAATCTAGGAGTTTTTGAATTAATGGTCTTAGTCTTGGTGAAAATACCATCAGAGTAAAATATCATGGGACACTGGAGGTAATTGATGATAAGGTGATAAATCCCTAGAAAGAAAAACACTAGAAACAGCTCCCTGTCTCTTTTGTGATGTTCACTGTGGGTCCTATTGGCATAACAAGAGGGAATGAACATGTGAGAAAATAGAGAAGACAGGATATTGGAATCTTGGTGACATCATCTGAGAAAAAGTTGGAGTCACGACAGGCTGAAGATTTAATGCCAGTAAAGAAATCTGTCTTTACAACAAACCCGTCTACTCAAAGATCTTTAAATGACAGGAGCCAACGAGAGCTGCATGCAATCTTATATATTCTAAACTTCCCCGACTTCCTCTAAAATTAATTCTAAAGGAAAACAAGGTGGTTAAAGAGATCATTCAAAGAGGCCTTTGGCACGTATGTCATATACTGTATCTACACGTGTTGTGGATGACAAAAGCAGGTTTGTGTTAAGAATGTGAACAGAAGGACTGAACACTACACAATAAGGTTTATTGGCAAGTAAAGAAAGGAGGAGGTTGCTCAGAGAGCTAACCACTGCAATAAACATTGTTCAGAACCACCATTATAAGTAAAAACTGCTACTTAAAAAAAAATAGATTAATTCAAAAATATATACTATTTTATCAATGGCTTTATTTCCTGCATGCCATTTGGGGAACTGAATAAACAGTCATTTTAGTGATTAGAGGTAGCCAGGGAATCAGTAAGAGCTCTACTTTTTTTAAGTAGAAGTTTTTATTTGTTAAGTTATTCTTTTGTTTGAAGTCTGTAAACAACAACTGATTTGTCCATGGAGAAGGGGCAGAATTCAATGTGAACCCTCACCTTCATATGGTGAGTGGCCTTCTGTCCAAAAGTTCTGGATTCACGTCCTAGCCAATGACTTTGGACTCTGAGCGCTAGTTTCTCTTAAATAAAATGAGAATAATGATACTCGTTTGCATTTATCCCACACAATTCTTGGACGGATCAAAGCAGATACTATAATGGATATCAAAAAATGTTGAGAATCATAAATTTACTACATATGTTCTCTGTTTCTCTAAATCAAAATGTGATAAGAAATAATAAAACAATGTTTAAGAGCAGGTGCTCACTGAAATACACTAATTTATCAATGGCTTTGTTTCCTGCCTGCCATTTGGGGAACTGAATAAACACTCATTTTAAAGTGATTAGAGGTAGCCAGGGAATAAGTAAGAGCTCTATTTTTTTTTTTTAAGGAACCAATTTGTCTTTTTCTTACCGACTCTGTGAAACTTGACACAATTTATTTCTTTACCTTCTTAGCTTAGACTCCAGGAAGTTCAAAGTCAAAAAGTAGTCCACTTCTAATAATTACACAGAATCCTCTGATATAAAAGCTTTAGTTCTAATGTTTTTATTTTCTCTTTACCTCTGTTTGTTATTCATATATTTTATACCATTATATTGTACATATTCCTTAAACTCAGATAAAAATATTTTTAGGAAATACAAACCTTCAAGTGAAGAAGTTTGCCATCAATTATTCAAGATGGTAGGAGATTACTTTAGGCATTAATGAATCTCATTTCACAGTTGTACAATTAAAATGCAACAAAAAGGGAAAACTAGGGTCAGGTGCTCAGGAATACCATCTAGGTAAATAACTAGGTCCCCAATAATCAAAATACAAACAGAGTTAACCCTGCACTGCTCTAAACTGAACCGGTAGATAGTATGATGGCTGAATGCTTCAATTGTGGGTGATAAAATTCCTGGTTTCAAAGCAATGAAACAAAAATGGGTGAAAAGTTAGTTTCAAAACTCACTTAGGTGATTTGAGATCACGATGAATAATTTTATGAAGGTGCAAATAATTCATTCCACTTGCAATTCCTGTAGACCAGTCTACTAGTAATCGAGGAGTGATTTTCCTGCCTGCTCGCAAAACCTCGTAGAGCTGTCCATGGGCACAGTACTCCATGATGATACAGTAACACGGGGCCTGGGTACAAACACCCCTTTCAAGAAAACACAAACACATGGATCAATACACATATTCACACAGCAAACATGTTGATGTTTTCAGGATACTTAAGACCATTTCTCTAAGTTATTTTATTTACTTAATTTTTATTGAAGTAAATTGGTTTAAAACATTACATAGTTTTCAGCACCATAATCCAACATCTACACACATTACATATACTGCATATGTATATTCTTTCCTGATTTTTAAATTAGCATTAAAACCCCTCTAGTCTATAGGCTTCTTTAATACTCAGTACACAGTTTTAGTTTGTTTTGTTTGCTCCAGTTATTGATACGTGGTGTTATATGTGATCCTTTTTCTGTAGGATAATTCCATTCTGGGATAAAGAATACTATCTACTAAGATTTGCATAGAGTGGAGATTGTGTTGCTTTACATTGAGAATAATTTAAATATTTCCCCTTAAACTCAAGTAGAGGATTTTTTATAGAGAGTACAGAAAGAGAAAATTCAAACATTACATTGTTATTTCAACTATTAAATCCTAAGTGATCCAAATTTATGATAACTTGACTGAGAGATCAAAAAAGAATCACTTTTCTATATTACCTAGTCTTTTAATATACATTAATTGAATACTTAAACAATTTAGAAATGTTCTTGAAATATTTCTGTTTAGAACTAAAAAATGTTATTGAATGTGTTGTTTCTATAACTTCATGAACCCTTTCCTGATTATGCCAGTCAAAAAGGTCTTTGTGACACAAAAACACTGATTCAAAAAGATACCTGCACCACCATGTTTATTGCTGCTTTATTTATAATAGGAAAGACATAGAATCAACCCAAATGCCCAAAAGTAGATGACTGGATTAAAAAGATGTGGTACATATACACAATGGAATATTAATCAGCAATCAAAAAGGATAAATACACACTTTTTGCAGCAACATGGATGGAGCTGGAAGGGATCGTACTTAGTGAAATAAGCCAGAAAGAAAAGGAAAAATACCAGATGGTTTCGCTCATAGCACAAGTATAAAGGACCAGGGGAGAAAATAATAATAGTAATAATGCACAACTATATACCAGAGACATTTTACAGGGGGTAGAGTAGAGGGTGAGGTGGGGGAAGGGCACTGGACTATGATGATGGCACACAGGTGATTGGTGATAGGAAGCCCATCGGGATTACAACTGAGATGGAAAAAGGCACAAAATGAAGTAAAAATAAACTATTATATTATTTTTTTAAAAAGTCCTTGTATTCTCTAAATTTCTGTTACATAGCAACCATTAGCTATTTATAAGCAATTTTCCCCTCTGCATATACATGCTCCCTGAAGGGAAAGGTCTCCATACTCCTTTCTCTCTATCACAAGGCCTAGGATGTCAAGCAAATTCTTCAGAAAGTTTTTAATTTCACCTTAACTTTTCTTGCTGAAAAAGAACTTCACATACACATGTGCAGAGGCAAGGGGCAGGAGGAAGGGGTCCAACATGAAAGAACACTGATTTGCCAGGCATCTTAACATTTAATTTGCCCAAACCATTGTGAAATGGAAGCTACCTTTTTCATTTCTAATGGGAAGGCTGAGAGCGGGAAACTAACCCTAATCAGACAACTAATATGTGACTGAGGAGGGATTCAATTCCAGTGTGTCCAACTGCAAAGCCCATGATTTCCCCATATGTTCTGCTGTGCTGTTGCCCTTTTAGCTTTTAATCTCTGTAGAAACAAACAACCTGGGGGGTCCTATAGTAACATCACAATGTCAGGAAAGTGGGAATAATCACATGAGCCTTTCCCACAGGGAAAGGAAACGAAAGAGAAGAAAAATGATCATGACATAATTATGGAATTCTCTGGGTCCCACTTTTTAAAGGTATGTGTATCTCCCTTCAAGACTTTCCAAGTTACAATTACTCTGTGCCAGACTTTCAGTTCTAGTCCTCAGTCAGCTACCAACCCGTGTCCTATCTCTCAGACTGCCTTAGTGAGGAAAGAATGGAGCGTCCATGGCTGTGATCACGTGGAAGCCTTGTAACAATGGAGGGTTATGAAGAAGTATAATTACTCTCCATTTCGCCTGCCTTGAGGTGCCTGTCAAATGCCACGAAGCTGTTTCTACTACTCTCCTACCAAGTAACCCAGAATTCTCCTCTTGATATTTCATGAAAAAAAAATTTTTTTTAAAATTCTGTTACTTGACACCTCACAAGAGCACAAGTATTTAGCAACTGTAAACAGGCAATTTAAGTTTCATTACACTGAAATAATTAATACAGCAGGGATAATCCCATGTGCTTAAGAATATAAAAATAAATATTTGTTTGAAACCAGTCAGCATCCTATTCAAATATGTTTTAACTTGTCCCACAAACAGACAGGCCTCACAATGATGCTACGTACTTTCCTTTCCTGACTGACGAATGAGAAGCAATCATCCCATCAGCCCAGTACTATGACAAGGCTTCTTAGTAGCTAAAAATAACAGCTCTATAATCACTTCTAATTGCTACCTTTTCTTCCCCCCAGGCACTCAATTCCAAGAGGAAGAGTCAGGTTGGGTGTTCTTTAAGACTGCTTAAAGAATTGGAAGGAAAAAGGAATATAGTATTCTTTTCTTATACTTGTCCTTCTGTACATAGCTCTGCACTTCAAAAGAAACCTGGAAGCACAGAAACCAGTAAACAGAGAAGTTTAAAATCTCCTCAGCTTTCCTATCTTCCAGACGGTCCTGAATGATTCATTGGCCAAGCAACACACGACACAGATGGCTACAAACACAAGCCTGCACAGTGCTTCGGGAGCACAGCGCAGTGGGCCAGGGACATGGTGTCACTATTGTGTTCTACGGGGGGTAAAGACTACTGAAGTATCTTCAGCCTAAAGATTTGGGCATTTGCATGGTGATGCTCATCCAGAATGCTGAAAACTGCATAAGCAGGCAGGACTGCTAACGGGTAAGGGTAGGGAAAGACTGCAGAGAAAAGGGAAGAAGCTAAAGAAGAGGAAAGCTTAGCTGCTCACACCCATCCTCTAAAGTTACACCTTTTGTGAGCCAGGGCATCCTGCTGGAAAGCCCGCTTACTTGGGACTCAGTCTAGTTTACTTTAGGAGGAGGAAAAGCCATGCTAATGATAAGATCCTTAAGGGCAGAGTTAAAATTGAACAGTTCTTTGGTACCCTCTCCAAGCACACAGCACAGGGTAAAGTTTCTAGAGCATTCTTGACGTCTTTCAAAGCAGGAACATATATGCAAGTATTGAGGAAGAGAAAAACCTATTTCTTTCTTT